TTTGCTATCAGATGTGAACCGACATATCTGTTCTTCTCGAATTGTTGACCACAACTTGAACTGGAAAGCCCATTGATCTACAGACACAGCATTAGTTGCTAAACAAAGACAGCTTTTTTTAATTCTGGATGCAGCGGAGACTCCTACTAAAGACTTCCCAGCACCGCAAGGCAGCACAATGATACCTGATCTAGCTCTACCTGAAATTTTAGGCATACAAGTTGACTGATCAGAGAACACCGAACTGCTTAACTCTCATTGTTCTAGCTGAGGGGATGAAAACTGAGTTCTTCAATAAATTGTCAGTCTCCAAGTAGAATTACAGACAAACATACCACAATCAAACTTAATCATCACATCATTTCCTATATGACACAATGGCCGCTGAACTTACCGGTTATTAAGTATGCACCAAATCCATACCTTATCTAAGAAGGATTGTTATCTATAGACCTCAAGCCAAAGAATAAGTCACCCCTCTTACTTAAGTGGATGAAACCTTCTTCACGATTTAACTTAAGAGTGGACGTCAAGCAGGTGCAATAATGCATACTCATCTTATCCCATCAGTTGGCTCTCTCTTTTCACTTAATAGCTCACCCAGTCTAACGTCCAGAAGGGACAGCTATATTGTATGCAGTCACCTGGGCTATAAAAGCAGGATTCTCCCACTTTACGGTTGAATCAGATTCCATGTCTGCTATTAAGACTTTGAAAAAGTCCAATGGCAATACAGATGTGGAAAATTAAAGCTTAATTCACGACCCTCAAGATCTTCAATTCAAATATCACCTTCACTTCAATCACTGCTATAGAGAGGCAAACCAAGTTACTCATTTTTTAGCTTCACCGGAATCTTCTACTCCCTTGTTATCTTTGACTCATCAAATCTGCCATCCCTCTCTCGGGGTGCCTATTCTTTGGATTTCAAGGACACTCCTATAAGAATTTTTTGAATCCTTCTTTATTTTTTTATTTTTTGTCTTTCTTTATGTCTTTCTTTATGCACGGCGTCTTATGATGCTTTATGCACCTGATAATTGAAAGCATTTACGACTAAGAAAATCATATAGGAACAACATTCTTACCATTTCCAAACATCTTACTCAGACTTTTTTCTTGATATGGTCGTGGTTGTGCATGTGGTTTCAACTCCATATCAAGATCAGGATTGACCTGAAACAATGTGGAGAATCAGGAACGGAGTGTGTGTATATAAATAGATATGTGCAGTTGTGCGTGTGTGTGCTTGCGAGCACACACATTTATATGGAAACGGTTTCAATAGGTTCCATCCGTGGAGAGGAATTTTTAACTAAAACTTAAATACTCTATATTAGGCAGACTACAAATAGGCCGTAGAATAATCATAACCATTTGATCTTAAATCACCCACCCGTAGACTCTGAATCTCAACAGTACACACACATACAATGAGATAAAGGATATATGTTTTAACTTTTCTGCTGTTCTTACTAAAAAGAATTGAGGGAATACTCACTGTATCATTTCTAAAGTCATACTCCTCCAGCATGGGATAATTCAAGGCATTTGGCAAGCAACGCTGCTTCACATTTTCAACCTGCCATACAGAATTTAGAATGTTCTCTGTCAGAACGCATAAAAAAGATATATCTCTACAATATTTTGTTTTGCGTGTAAATGGAAAAATGATTTTCATATCACTACAAATCTACAATGCACTATATCTATACAAAGCTTTAGCAATAAAAAGGATAAAGAAGCATGAATGTACATATCCAAAGTCAGTGATGAGGGTATATTTAGTAAGATCTGGATACAACCCCCAAACTTCTTCCCTAGCACCTTATAAGATTATATACATGCAACATGAGACACCCATTAAAATAGAGTAAATGAAAATAGAGTAAATGAAAACGCATAAATCGTGATTAAAAGTCTCTCTATGGCATTAAAGCCACAGAGGTGCTAAGGAAGAAGTCTGCAAACTTATTCTATCCCTCTCCTCGCTAAAGGTCTCTAAAAAGGCAATTAAAGCCCCGGTACATTTTGCGTATGTGAAAAACATGTGAGCGTTAATGCGGCTTGAGACGGACGTAAGCCTCAAACTTGATATCTCGTAAATGTTGAAAGTTTGAGGTATATATCAACACAAAAATCAATCAAATTAGAAAACGTGTTATTGGATTAAAATGCCGGCCACTCTTCCTCATTCAGTGGCTCGCTCCAAGTGACACTCACTCTTCATCGCTCTTCCCTGCTCTTCCCGTATTAAAGTCATGCATAGAAGTATAGAACCTTACGATTTTATCTAGCCTTGCACTTCTTTGGTCAAGGCACAGTTAATAAAACTCTAGCTCTGCATGAGCAGAAAAAGATGAGTAGTGATTCCACAAGAAGATAATGCTTTATGAAAAAGAGATGATCACTTTACAAGTATTCTTTGAAGAAGACTAAGGAAGATCATTGAATTGGATGTCATACTTTAGTGATCTTCTAATGGGTGTAGTGTTATTAGTGAGTCAAATTTAGTATAAACTTAGTATGCACATAGAGTCCTCAACTGGCTTAATCTTAAATAGTGCCCTCTCTCTCCACATTTTGTTCAAGTTTTGAGGAAACTAGGTATATTTATTCTCTATTTTAACTAAAATAACATCAAGTTACCTGAGAAGGATCAATTTCAAATGAATGGGTTTCTCTTTCTTCAGTGGCCGCTGCCAGCTCTGCTTCATTTAACAACTCATCATGTCTACCTTCTATTTCGCCTGCAGACTTGCTGATTGTAAATCCATCGTTTTCATGAAGCCCCTATAAATAAAAAAGTCACAGCTAGCGATAGTGAGATAATAATAAGAGAGAGTATTTATTTAAAAAGCATCATAAGAGTGACATCATATTAAATATAAAGGCCTCAGTGAAACAGAGCCAGTACATGAAAATGAGAATATGAGATTGTCTATAAACATGATTAACAGTGAACTGTAACAGCACAGGAACTGAAATGGATTATCATGAATTCAATTACCAATGATCTAATTCAACTCCAATAAAAGATGGAGAAAAATAACTGTGATAGAACATCATATACAATGCAACAGATGAGTGCAAAAAAAACAGAACGACTCACCGCAGGCATAAGTCTTGCTCTACCTATAACTTCATCTTGAAGCAGCTTTTTCAATACCTGTGCACATAAAAATCATTTATTCATGAACATCATAATGCAACACAACAAAATGACCGAATCGTTAAGGAAAGCTATAATCTTGCCTCAGTAAAAGGAGATTCAATGAAATACCGATTCTTCTTAAGCACGAGCTTTACTTTTCCATAGTTGGCAGTAGAAGCATAAATAAAATCAATCATTTCTTTCGGAAGCTTAGTTTTTGACAATTTGCTTAAAACAGAAATTATAGTTTCAGTCTCCAAGCCAACAGACACTGCCGCATACAAGGAATGAGGTGTCAAATTGTACTCATGCATGGACTCTGGCCTATGTTACAAAATAAACCAATCAGAGATCAACAAACACAATGACATATGATATTATACATATAAGCATGCAATACCATCAGTACAGAACTGTGGTGGACAGTACCTACAAACAGGTTCAGCGATGGCTATGAGAAAATCATATGCCTGCTTGTATAATGCTGAAAATGTTTCAAGGAAAATCCTTCCATCAGCACAAGCCCACAATGGGCGGTTTCCATGATCTGGTTTGAGCTCAAGTTTAGTGAAATCTCTTTTCTTGCCCTCACCATCTCCTAAATTCAAATCAATTCCATAACCCAAAGTCATTATACACCATCTCTACGAATATAGAGAACGACATAAATATAAAACTGATCACTGCAAATTTGAATAAAATACCATCGCGAGAATCAGCATTGATGTCTTCCAAGTAATGTGAATCATCTGTTTCGACAGACTTGTATTCCTCCTGCGTTGTTCCAACAAAATGAGTGCACAAAATTCAAACTTCTATCAACACGTGATCCCATCAAGAATACTGTGCACTTGAGGAAAAACTGAAGAAATTATTAGCACCTTGGAGGCAAACTTGATCTTTTTGCTAGGTCGCCCTTTATCACCTAAAATTGAAAAATGGTATTGATTACAGATACACATATATAGGCCATAATAATAATTTTAAACGCATATTTCTAATTAATTCAGTTTATTTCGTCATTGGTCGGATTCTGTTCTTGTTTTTGTTGCTTTTTCAGCATAATTTACCGTGATGGCCCATTGTATCACTGATGGAGAACGATCAAAAGTTGTTTTATACGTTCTGACTTCTGAGTATCTGATAACAGCCGAGATCTGCAAGGTATTCTCTTCACCACCCCTACTGAATGCGCTCGAAGAGCGAGCTCCTATATAGATGGCGATTCCCAAACGCGCGCTTCTAATCCTTTCACCGGGCTCAAGACTCAGCCCTGCTTTGTTATTACTATGACGAGGGGTTAGTCTAGAAATAATATTAAAATAATGAAAAATAACTTTAAATATACAAATACTTCCTTCTTCCCACTAAGATGGTCTCATTTTACCATTTTGGAAAGTTCTACTAAGATTTTCTCATACCAAATTTGGTAAAGATTGTGTGGATATAAATCATTGGACTTTTTGCACTATTCACATATTCTACTTTGACTATATTTTATTTATTAATGTATTATAAAATAAATTTTTAAAAAATATTATTAAATTCTTCTCATTCTAAATTTTCAAAATCCAATTTTTTTAATTTTTTATTAATAAAGAATGAAAGATATTAATGGTAAAACTTGTGCGTTGTCAAACGTAAAAAGTGGATTGTTGCAATTAAAAAAGAACAGAGGAAGTATCAATTATACAAACTCACTTTTCTTAATAATCGTGCCACTTTTCTTCCATCTCAATCTTAGTGGGACGGAGGTAGTACTATGTACTCCCTCGTCCCGTTAAGGTTGTCTCATTTTACCTTTTTGAAAAATTCCACAAATATTGTCTCATACTTTTTTGATAAAGTTTGTGTGGCTCTAAATCATTCTTATTTTTTTTCTTACTTTATCAATTCAATATTAACCGCATAAACTTATTTTTCTTAATACCCGTGTCGATAGTGGGACGAAGGTAGTATTAACTATCTCCCATAATGTATCTTTTCAACTAATGTTGTCAAACACTGAAAACCGTAGGCTAATGTCGTGTATGTGAGTTGATGTTTCTCTCACGCATGTGAGCATTTCTTCTTGGTTTAATGGCTAAAATTGAACAGCTTCCTCCGCACTTGGTGGGGGCAGGCTGCCGATTGAGAACTCTGGAACTTGAGGGTGATCAATTGACGCTTGAAGGGGAAGGGGCAGGCTTGATTCTTGGCGGAAGAAGAGAGATTATGGGCAGTGATCGACGATACAATCTTTCAACTAGTTTTAGTCGGCTCCTTTCTCATGGAAGAGGTAATAACACATCTGTGTTTCAGAAATGCCTTGACCTTAATCTGGCGGTCGGGAACGGCTGGAATGGGCTACAAGCAGGCAGGGTACACAAAGGACAGGGAGAAGTGGCACACTAGACAAACGAAGAAAGGGAGACAGGGGTAGTTAGTCACATTGTGGGAAACCGGGGAGGGCAAGACCGAAGAAGCTAGACCAGCTAGCATGGGGTTGGAGTCTGGTGACCATAAGAGAAGAAGGATGTGGGAAAAAGAGGAGCAGATTAGTGATCAAAATGGCTCTAGATGAGCCAAAAAATGGGGAAGGGGCGGGTGTTGGCTACCAAGCCCATCTGGGTCATTGAGAATTTCTCCAACTCAAGAGGGCAAGCTCGTGCTTCTAGTGATTTTGGGGAAGCAACTTTACTCTACTTCGCTATGTTTTTCTTGTCGTTTTATACTTTGGTCGGAATGTTATTTTGGTTTGTTTTATTTTATTTTAGTCAGACTCTTGACTTTAGTTTGAGTGATGAAAAGTCTGTTTTGAGCGCATTTTGCTTAGTTATGCCCGTTATAGGATCAACGAGTCATATTGCTTTCGGAAAGGTTATCGACTCTGGGTCTAGTTCGAGGGCTGGTGGTTGAGAGTGAGTTTTTTGTTACTTGCCTGAATCCTGATTACTCAATATAAGCCAAGTCACTTTCTCTCAAAAAAAACTTTCTCCCATAAATCAATAGTAATACGCATGTTGGAACTAATTTTGAAAAAATGGGAGACTTATTATTCACGGAGTTCACAAGGACAAAATCATGACCTATTTCTATGAGGGACAAAAAAGTAGCTGAAAGTGAAAAGAATAGTCTAAATTAAAACAACCCTTGCAAATCCGGAACTGGAAATCTAAGTGTGCTCCTATGTCCGACAAATGAAAATGAAATAGCGATTGCAGCGGATTTAGAGCACACAGAGTCACAGTGACAATCGTCACAGGGGGCATAATGACGATGGTGGATGTCATGAATTTTTCTCGTTCCTTCTAAATGTTTTCGAAACACAAGTGACAAGCTTTGTTTAAAAGATAACTATGTCCCATTTTTTATACTTATGACCCTCAATTGAGCATCTGACTATCATTGTAGAAGTTTGAAGAATGGACTATTTTTGTTTAATCTTGTCAATCTCGCCACAATATATATTTATTAAAATTTTGTTTGATGACTGCAAATGGTGATTTGATTGTCGTAAGTAGAATTACACTCTAGTTTTTGTAAATTCTCTTTTAGTGTTGTACTATGTAATATGCTAAAAAATTGTAGTTTTAATTTTTATTTATTCTATTAATAAAGCTCTTTTGTGAAAATATACCCCATAATGGTACAATATATTGCAAATATTGTCCTTCAACTTAACATGTTTTATATGAAATGTAGTTCCTATGTTATTAATGTTATTAATGAGCTATTCCTTCGTCCTTCAAATTAGTACCCTCTATTGTTATTAATGTAGGAATAGAGTTTATGAAATTATTAGCAAAGGAGCTATGTTGTACGAAGTATATGCAGTCAAAGGTACGATTTTTTACTCAATAAAAAATGAAGTTTTTAACCACTAATCCCCCCCTCGCCATTTTCATAAGGCTATTCCAATGTACGTAGTATAAGATGAAAAAAAAACTTTGAGTTTTTCACCTCAAAAGTGTTCCAATTCATCCAAAATGTATTCCGTATAAGAGAGTGTCAATAAAAAATGAAGTTTTTAACCACTAATTCCCCCCTCGCCATTTTCATAAGGCTATCCCAATGTACGTAGTATAAGATGAAAAAAAAAACTTTGAGTTTTTCACCTCAAAAGTGTTCCAATTCATCCAAAATGTATTCTGTATAAGAAAGTGTCAAAGTGGGCCATCTGTTGGGATTGGAAAATCCTTCTATTCAATATCAAGAACATAATTACAATTGGAGGAGCAAACTCTCACACTCAACTATTACAAAAATCAATCCTCACCAATACACTTCTACTCTAAGTGTATTTCACTCTTCACACACTTTTCTCACTTTCTAAAATTGATAATATGAACAACAATAGAGCACTCTATTTATAGGCTGGTTTGGAGACAAGAGGATGTTGCATCCAAGCTTCCATAGTTATCTCCATATCTTCACCATGTTCATATGTTGGAGACCTCCTTCCAAGAAGGTGTGAGATGCCTCTTGGCAACTTCCAAGAAAGATGGTGGAAATTCTCTACAAATCTCCCCCTCCACCTTTTTCTTTGTTTCTCTCATTCCTACGATACTCGCTGGCTCCCCCTCACTAGCAACAAGTATCCATTCAGATGTGGAGAATTTTCTCTGTGGAACTATGCCTCGCATAGAACGTCGAACATGAGTACCTTCAGCTTCATCTTCATATGAAGGCTCCCCCTGCTGAGGAATTTCATCATTGTGAGCATCATCATCACCTACCGAACCATCACTCTCTTGTTCAGTAATATCATGCATCTCCTCGTCGCTGAGAGGAATGTTTGATGATACAGGCACTTCGTCTTCTGGAGTATGTTGTTAGCGGATTATTGGAGCACACCCATGAAACTTGTTTTCATGAAATACAACATCTCTACTTCGTATAACTTTCTTCACTTCGGGATCCCACAACCGGTATCCGAATTCTTCATGATCATACCCGATGAAAATGTATGGGTTTGACTTGAGATCAAGCTTCTGTCTCAACTCCTTGGACACATGTGCAAATGCCTTGCACCCGAACACTTTCAAGTGAGAGTAAGAAACATCTCTTCTTGACCATTTCTTCTCTGGCACTTCAAAGTTAAAAGGAACAGAAGGTGACCTGTTTACAAGATAACAAGCTGTCAGCACAGCTTCACCCTAGAATGGCTTAGGTAGTTTAGCCATACTCAACATGCAACGAACTTTCTCCACAATGGTTTGATTCATTGTTTCGGCTACACCATTGTGCTGTGGAGTTCGTGGAACCGTCTTCTCATGTCTGATTCCATATGCGGCGCAATATGCTGAGAACTCCCGGGAAGTGTACTCTCCTCCATTGTCTGAACGTAGACACTTCAGCTTCTTCCCAGTTTCTCTTTCTACCATGGCATGAAATAATCTGAAGCGATCAAACACTTGATCCTTACTCTTTAAACAGTAAGCCCATACCTTTCGTGATGCATCATCAATGAATGTCACGAAGTATCTGCTTCCTCCAAGTGACTCCTCTTCAATGGGTCCGCATACATCAGAGTGTACAAGACTGAGTAACTCTGAATGGTTCTTTCTGGTAGAACTGAAGGAAACCCTGTGTTTCCCAAATAGACAATGCTCACATGGATCTAGGGCAACACCCCATGGAAATGACTTGCTTATTTGCAAGAGTTGTCAATCCCTTCACGCTCATGTGGCCTAGCCTCCGGTGCCACAAGTTTGGTGATGTCTCTTCTTCAACAGCATTTAGACTCGGATGACACAACTTTGCATGAGTTTTATACAGAGTATCACAAATATGGCCTCTTACAACAACCAAGGAACCTTTAGATAACTTCCACGCACCTTCTTTGAATCGGTTAAGATATCCTTGTTGATCCAGAGCTGTACCGGAGATAAGATTCAATCTAAAATACGGAACGTGTTGAACATCTTTCAACACAAGTGCACATCCGACATTGGTTGTTATGTGCACATCACAAATGCCAACAATCTTCGAGAAACTCGTGTTTCCCATCTTCACAGCTCCAAAGTCTCCGGACTTGTAAGATGTGAATAAATTCTGGTGTGGAGTGGCGTGAAATGATGCGGATGTATCAATCACCCACTCAACATCATGAGTACCTACGTGTAAACATTTTTGTTCACCATGTGTAACAAGACACACGTCCGATGACAAACTAACAATAGTCTCACCGTCTTCTTGGCTAGTATTTTGACTCGTATGTGGCTGCTCTCGTAGAAACTTTCTACAATCTCTTTTTTCTATGCCCATAATTACCACAATAGTTGCAATATCCTTCAAACCAAGTATTGTTTTCACAGGGCATACCTCGTTCTTGTGATTGGCCACGAACTTGAGAATTTCCCCTGTTTTGACTTTGACCTCTACCTCGATCTCGACTTCTTCCTCCATTTCTGCCTCCCCCTCGTCTGTTGGTTTCTGACACGAAGGCATATGATTGTTCAGTCCCGGCTTCTTTTCTTCGGGCTTCTTCATTCATAAGGGCATCTGTGACCATCTGCATAGTCACCTTGCCATTGGGAGCAGAATTGCTGAGAGTGGCAACAAGAGTCTCCCAGCTGTCAGGTAGAGAGCTCAAGAGTAGTATCGCCTGCTCTTCATCTTTGAGACCCCATCCGGTGGTGCTCAACTGATTCACAAGATCCTGGAATTGACTGGTGTGTTCTGACACCGAAATACCTCCTCGTAACTTGTGGTTTACTAATCTCCTCATTAGTAATGTCTTATTTCGGGCGGTTTTTGCTTGATACATGCTATCAAGCTTCTCCCATAGTGTGTAAGCACTTTGTTCTTGCGCAACATGGTGGAACACTGTCACGCCCCGGACCGCGTCCGTGCCACGTAGACAACCGCCGTACAACCCAATAAGAACAATGTAGTTCATTCTTATCAAATCATACAAGGCGTCCGAAAGATTCTATTGCCAAACCGATTAGTAAACCCATACAATCAACATCAATATATTAGTCAAATGAATGCGGAAATAAAATAAGTTTGACATTCAGCCACATGTGGCAAACACGGGCACACAGGCCCTTCAATAGTTTAATAGAAAACATCGTTCAAATATCCATGAGCAATTTAATAATTTCAAATAAGAATGGAAGCACGAACCACGTCTTCCTTGTTTGAGTTCACCCTAGGCAAAGGTGCAGGTAGCAGGACTCTAGCCTTAACCTGAAAAAATGTGAGGGCCCCCGAAGGGGTCAGTACTCCATAGAAGTACTAGTGACAAGCAGGCTATATGAGGAATAACTAATGTTTCAGACACGAGACCCAAAAATAGGGTGATACTTATATTTATAGGTGTAACCATTGTTACCCCATTCCCAAGATAATACATATTGTATATACTTGTAAAATACTTGACCCGTAGGTCGTTTTATCACAAAGAGTCTTTTAGAGGTATGGCGATTACCCAACCTTTCCCATTCATTCCTGAATGCCTAGCTCACGGGCTACATTCTACCTTCATAATATCCTACCGAGTTTCAGGAGTGTTTACCCTCCCGGGGATGCTCAACCCCACCGAGTTTCTGGGATTGTTTACCGTCCCGAGGATACTCAACCTCACCGAGTTTCTGGGATTGTTTACCGTCCCGAGGATACTCAACCTCACCGAGTTTCTGGGATTGTTTACCGTCCCGAGGATACTCAACCTCACCGAGTTTCTGGGATTGTTTACCGTCCCGAGGATACTCAACCTCACCGAGTTTCTGGGATTGTTTACCGTCCCGAGGATGCTCAACCTCACCGAGTTTCTGGGATTGTTTACCGTCCCGAGGATGCTCAACCTCACCGAGTTTCTGGGATTGTTTACCGTCCCGAGGATACTCAACCCCACCGAGTTTCTGGGATTGTTTGCCGTCCCGAGGATGCTCAACCTCAACCGTATTTCTAACCAAACCCTAACCTGGATATGGCTAACCTT